AGTCTTCTCAATTTTCGCAAAGTTTCTTTTTTTTATACTCCAACTACCACGAAGGCCTAAGGCCTAAACACCCATTGGGTACCGTGGGGCTATAGGGGGATAAAGGGGAAAGAGGGAACGCCACACGGACTCTGGCGAGGTAACACGTGGGCATGCAACATGCACACATTCTGGCTCCGCCTACGAGATCCGCCGGGTGGTACCTCCGCGTTCGACAGTCAGAGACCGTCTACCACCTCCGGACAATCACAACATCCATAGCCAAGAGAAAAAAATCTCCTGGGACGGGATTCGAACCCGCACAGCGCATGGTGACTGATCAGGAGACCGAGGAGTCTACTACTGCGGCCACCGCTGCTGCCTAAGCTGCAACATAGCACTCAGTTTGAAAATAGTTTTTCAGTATTTCCCACCATTGTTCAAGATTAAAATGATCTATTGCTCACAGCGGAAGTTTGACACAATATATCTATCTGTCAATATGTTGAGCATAGAAAGTGTTACCAACTGTCAAACTAATACCAACTTAAAAAAACAGCTGATGGCCCACCCTTTATCATGTGCTCATCCCGTCTAAGGTGTGCGCCTATCTAAATCTCTAGATACTTTATCTGTTCTATTTATAGTAAATATATGGTTATTACTGTTTATTATTTGTAATTGTTCATAAGATGGCATATTTTTGTATATATGAGGTGAAAGGAACAAAGTTTTTTCAAAATCTATTGTTAACAATTTTCTATCGAATAAATCGAACATTGTATGGTAGGTCTGGAGTTCAACCCTGCATTAGCTTTCTCTATCCCGGTTCGGCATCGTTCGTGTTTAACGCTTTCATTCCTACTCGGGTCCAGATATCTCGTTAGAAGGGTGAAAAGACTACATTATTTAAGACAACCGTTCCCGCCGTTAAGCTCTTAATAGCCACTTACGATGCAAATTTCCACCAGCCAAGGATCAATGAGGGAATTGAAAAAATATTTATTCAGCAATTAAAGATTACAGTCAGATGGGCAGTACGATGGATGATGCTTCACTTTGAAAAATTCTGATTTTATTCATCAGTGGTTTGGTCAACTCAGGATTTTCCGCTTCCGCTTCAAGCGATTTAACAGTTAGGATTATGCTAAAATCGGATTTCTTCATTTTCATGTACCGGGTGGGCCAATAATAACTCAACCGAGTAGATACTGGTGCACTCTGGGCGCCCCCCACCACTTCCACTTTTTGGCCACGCCCACCACATCCACCGCGTGCTCTGATTGGCGGATCAAACGGCGGGAAATTTGAACGGGGTTGATGGTATATGTTGATTGGCGGGAACCGCTAGATCCACCGCGTGCTCTGATTGGCGGATCAAACGGCGGGAAATTTGAACGGGGTTGATGGTATATGTTGATTGGCGGGAACCGCTAGATCCACCGCGTGCTCTGATTGGTGGATCAGACGGCGGGAAGTTTGAACGGGTTGATGGTATATGTTGATTGGCGGGCCCCGTTAGATAGCGCACCCGACCGGAAGTGATTCAGACACCCGACGATAGTAAGGTGTAGTATAACGTCTATGCGTAAGCGATGTGACTCATTTCATGTTTTGCGGTAAATATTTGCATATAGATCGATAAAAGCCCATGAATAATGATATTTATAGATGCAATTCTGCTGATTCAGTTTAAATGGAAAAACGTATAAAATTCGCGGGAAACAATGCGTGTAGGATGATCTCAATAATCAACACGTCATATTCAGTGTGCATATAAAAATGGAATTGCTCATATATGTGGTGCATACAGTTAATGTTAGTTAATTTTTAACATTGATACAATATTGAAAACATAGTACAGTCTATATTGTGTATCTAATAAATTCAACAAGGCAATCACCTACGTCGCAAATGAGGTTAGGTTCAGGGCAGGTGTTGTCGTAGCGGTGATATGCAAGAAGTACCGGGCGGGGCTGTTAAGCATGGGTGAATGGGCAGGAAGCGCAGGCTGTCAACGACTGACCAACGATAACAGCGGTGACCTTGAAACACTGTGGTCAGTTAAAAAGTGGTGGGGGTAAAATCGAGATTATAAATACCTATGAATCACCGTAAATTATCTTGTCAGTTATCTGCAGCGAACAGACGTGCTCAGTTCAGATTTAGTCGCTAGTTAACGTTTTAGTTTTTAAAAAATGGAAAAATTCTTCATCGTTAAGGATTCTACTAAGAAGATTAAAAAATTTAATCTATATGGGCGAGAAGTGGAATTTAAAATACGACCTATCCCTAAAGACGTCGAACCTGTGGGATGGATCAAAGACGCTCTGGAGGAAATAGTAGCCAAAGGAACTGAACATCTCCAGCCCAGTGATCAAGTTGGATTCACTTTCTGTTCCAAAGACTTTACCCGCGGTCAAGGATGGATAGCTTTTAAATTGTTTTCCGACGTTTCAACTGAGGACATATGGGAGAAGATATCTTCCATCTATCAGTCAAATTCTGTGGGGTTGAATACCGAGACTTTTTGCTTGGGTATTACGTCCGTAAGGTTGCCTGCTGGTCGTGGTAGAGCTCAGAATTTCAATACCTTTGATGAGGAATGCGCCAAAAGAAAAGGCATTATCACCGTTAAAAACACCGATAATTTGTGTCTCCCACGAGCCCTTGTCATCGCCATGGCCCATTTGAACAAAGACAAAGATTATAGCAGAATCCGCCGTGATCGAGGAAAAATACAAGGACAAAGAGCTGTACAACTTGTGGAAAAGGCTGATATTGTTATCCCTGAGGAGGGGTGTGGAATACCTGAACTTCAAAAGCTACAACGATATCTGCAAAACTACAAAATTGTTGTATACAAGTTTGGGTGCAAAGGTCGTGACGTCATTTTTGAAGGCGTGTCCGCTGGTCCGACGCTTAACCTAATATATCACGAGGGGCACTACAGCGTCATAACATCCCTCACTGCTGCCTTTTGCTGCAGCTTTTTTTGTGAGAACTGCCACATTCCGTATAATACTAAACAAATTCATAGATGTGATAAACAATGTTATGCTTGTAAAAGATCTCCGGCCTGCCTGAAAACGAAGCACATCAAATGCAAAGAATGTAATAGAAGCTTTTATGGACAAGAATGTTTTAACGCTCATTTACCATCGGTCTGTTCTAAAATTAAAAGATGTGTAGACTGTTTTAAAGTTCACAACGGTAATGATCACATCTGCGGATATATACTTTGTAAAACATGTTATAAAAATCAACCAATTGAACATATGTGCTATATACAGCCTGACAGAAGTATTCCTAAATCAAATGATGTCTTATTAATATTTTACGATTTGGAAACCCGTCAGGAGAAGGAATTACCCAATGGATCTTTACTGCATGAGCCAAATCTATGTGTATTCAAACAATGTTGTGAATCATGTACCGATAATCCTATATGCAAGAAATGTGGCCTTCGAATACAGATTCTTCGATGTCAAGACGTCATTTCTCCATTTATGCATCATATTCTGACACTTCGTAAAAAATTCAAGAAAGTCATTGTACTGGCGCATAATGGTGGAGGATTTGATCATCAGTTTCTACTTCGTTACATTTTAGAGAAGACTAGTCTGTACCCGAATGTAATTATGAGAGGAACAAAATTAATATTGATGGAGGTAGGAAATGTAAAATTTCTGGATTCTCTCAATTATTTTCCTATGCCTCTAACTGCTCTACCCAAGGCGTTTGATTTGAAAGAGCTAAAGAAAGGATACTTTCCACATTTATTCAACACTTTGGCTCATCAGAATTATGTAGGGCCAATTCCAGCGCTCGACTTCTACGATCCCGACCATTTAAAGGAAGACGCTCGGGAAAAATTATTAAAATGGCATGGCGAAAGACAAGCGGAGGGATACGTTTTTGATTTTCAGAAAGAAATCGTTGAATACTGTATCTCCGATGTGGAAATATTGACACAGGCGTGTCTCAAATTTCGAGACCTGATGAAAACCGAAACCACAGTCGATCCCTTCCAGGAAAGCACCACTATTGCATCATGCTGTAACAAAGTCTTTAGACGCAATTTTTTAAAACCTGAGACGATCGGGGTAATTCCAAAAGGGGGCTATAGATGGCGTGAAAATCAGTCAAAAATTGCCATCCAATGGCTGTTGTGGGAGGAACATCAAAGAGGAATCAAAATTCAACACGCCGCTAAGGGTATAGAAACCATTGTTAAGGGACATAAAGTAGACGGTTTTTGTAGCGACACAAATCAAGTGTTTGAATTCCAAGGATGCTATTTTCACGGTTGCCCTCGATGTTTCAAATACAAAAGAAGCAATCCTCTGCATAATGATCCGTTGAATACATTGGAAAGTCGATACGAACAATCAGTTAGCAAAGTAGAGAGACTCCGAAGCCTTGGACTAGAAGTAATTGAGATATGGGAATGTCAATTTCGAGGAATGCTAAACGATGAAATTAGAGCCTTCACAGAAGCACATCCATTGATAATCAATTTACCGATTAACCCCAGAGACGCTCTCTACGGGGGACGTACAGAAAATATCGTTGAATACTACAAGATCAAAACAAATGAATGCATAAAATATGTCGATATATGTTCCCTGTACCCCTTCATCTGTAAATATGGAAAATTTCCGGTGGGTCATCCAAAAAAAATTTACGTAGGTGAAGAATGTGTTACAGCCTCTCTGTCGCAGATGTCAGGACTTATTAAATGCCAGATTCTACCGAACCAGAACTTATATCACCCCGTTTTACCGTCAAAAATGAACAACAAATTGATGTTTGTTAACTGTCAAAAATGTGGTGAAGATTTCGTTCGAGAAGAGTGTCAGCATTCTATTCAAGAAAGAAGCCTAAAAGGAACTTGGGTGATAGAAGAGGTGCTCAAAGCTATTGAAAAAGGTTACCAGATTATAGAGACTTACGAAATATGGGAATACGATACAATTCAGCTCAGTAAAGACCAAGAGGGGTTATTTAGCGGAATGATGAACAAGTTTCTACAAATAAAACAACAAGCTTCAGGATGGCCCAAACATTGCTTAACGGATGAAGAAAAAAACCGTTATATTGATGCATTTTTGGATAGAGAAGACATAAAGCTGGAATTTTCAAAAATTATAGAGAACCCCTGTTTGAGATCGTTAGCTAAACTTATGCTGAATTCCTTTTGGGGTAAATTTGCTCAAAAAGAAAACCAAAACAAAACCTCAATAGTCAGAGACTGTGGTGAATTCTTTGATATGCTGACTAATCCTTCTATTCATGTAAATACAGTTCTACCGGTAAACGAAGAAACCCTTCTCATAACTTGGGAATTTAGAGAAGAGGCCTATGACGTTTCTTCAACGGTTAACGTTGTATTGGCTTCATATGTCACGGCCCTAGCTAGACTAAAATTATATTCATTCTTGGAGAAAGTGGAAGAAAGGGCAGTTTACGTAGATACAGATTCATGTATTTATATCTCTCGTAAGGGATTAGACGACATATCTACAGGCGACTTCATAGGTGATATGACCGATGAGCTCAATGGGGGTTTCATATCAGAGTTTGTTTCTGGAGGACCTAAGAACTACGCCTACAAATATACTACTTTGTCTGGAGAGGAACAGATCGTATGTAAAGTAAAAGGCATATCACTCAACTACAAGGCATCCCAAGTAGTCAATTTTGAGAAAATAAAAGACATGGTGCTGAAGAAATCTGATCCTGTTTCTGTACTTTCTCGACAGCTACGACGTACAAGAGAGCATGCAGTAGTAACAGTCGAGTTTCCTAAGGTATACAAGATAACTTCAATGAAAAGGAAATTCTATGAAGATCATACCTCTGTACCATTTGGATTTAAGAAAATAATGTATTGATTTATTAATGTATGTAAATATTTTTTAATAAACATGTAAAATAAAATGTATGCAAATGATTTTTTGTTTTTTATTTCCCGCCTAATTGAAAAATATTTTTGCACCCGAAATTGTTCAGCCTTTTTACTCCATATAAAATATTTAAAAGTATGCATTGTTATTATTAAACGCCTGCAGTAATATACACCAAAAAAATTGAGAAGCAGTGTAACCATGTGGAACTTTGTATAATCACAAAAAAACATATCTTGGAAAATAAAAAATACAGCAGATTCATAAGCAGTGTAGAGAGGAAACTACGTAAAAGTAATCGATTATTACTAATAAAATAGAGTTTTGAATTCCTATTTTTACAATAATAATCATTTTACTATCTTACGTGTTGGGCACTGCACTGCACGTGTACCAACACTGTACTGCACGGGCACGAAAAATTGAGAAGCATGATAACCATGTAGAACTTCGTATCACTACGTAAATGGTTATTACGAAAAGTAGAAATAAAAACTATATTTTCGATAATAGCTATACTATTTTTTATGAGCACCGAAAAAATTGAGAAGCACGATAACCTCATAGAACTTCGAAACAGCACCAGAGACAACCGAAGGCTACAGAAAAAAAACACATACTGAAAAGGCATAACATCTATCAGCGCTGGTATCCGATAATACTGTTTCCTTTGACATTCGTTGGGATATGAAAACACATATTTGCTTCCCACCGTTATAACGGAAATAATAGTTACTGCAAAAGCAGTTTCACGATAAGACCATACATTAATCTACAAAGTTGATAATAAAACATATGTACTATTAAAATGCAGATATTTTTAAAATTATACAATTAAAAATCAAAATAATATATTATAAATGGTAGGGGATACAGGGTAAACACCGAAATATACTTAATTTAGAATAGTTACTTATAATCTCCTCAGTTCTTTGGTCAGCCGTATCGACAATTTACCGGTGGGTCCTCTATTTTTGTGCATGTAAAAGGTTAGACTATGGCGCTAGCAAAAAAAAAAACAAAATGCAACAAAGTAGAGTCACTTAATATTCTTGTTGAAATTACGGATAGAATATGGTAGAAAGTAACAATCAGATATTGTAGAAGCCATGTAATTGTTTAATTGTTGAGGAAAAAGTATTTTTCATACGCTGACCATGTTTATGTCCGCTTGGTACGCGACCAGATCTTTTCCAAACCTTTGCCCGTAGGGTTCATGAGCCTACGACCAAATGTGTCGTCGAAGGGGCATTTTTGGCCAAATTCGGTCGAAACCGATGCTGCGTTCGTACCCTAGAGCCTACGAACAGTGACTCAAACTTAATTTTAATTGATATGCAAAGATCTGGCTAGAATGCTTGAGCTAGTGATTATATGCAATTTATCGGTGACGAGCTTTCCTCTAGCATATCTTGATTTATTCAAGCGAATCAATGAGAAACTAGTGAATAAAATTACCTGACAGCCATAGTACAAGTTGGTATATCTACACCTTCTCTTACATTTGGCGCCACTAAAATGTTAATCTCCTTGTTTCTAAAAACGATCAAGTACTTATCTGTTCTTCTTATTAATCGGAAGTGATTCTACGGTGCTATTAAAAGAGTTTCCGTTATATCCCACAACGAAATCCGGCTTTATATGTCTGAACTCTGGTACATGTTCACTCAAATCTTTCAGTACATGGTGCAATATTTTTGGCAGTTGATCTTTCCTTCGTGAATATTAAACCACAAATGTCTTCGTTTGAAGATGAACTGTTGAAAAGTGTTACGTTTATATTAGTATTAATATTTATGACATTTACTTTTTTAAAATAGTTAAATACTACGATAAACTGGGAATGTGGGATGAAGCAGAAATGTTTCTGTAACCCAATTTAGGTATGTATAGCAAGTCTTACGCAAGACAATAATAAAAACAGATAGAATTCGAGGGCGATTCTTGGAAGAAAAATTCATAGTATTTCTAAGGCAACACCGACCGGAGTGCTATAATTTTAGCATACATTTACAGGTTATAGGTCTAATGATAAATAGAAAGTGATTAAAATTTTAACTTCAATTTTCGTAAAATAGCTGAGATATGCCATCTTGCAGTAGCCTGAAATGAAATACCCGACAGGTTACCCATCACCTGATAGTCTGTGGTTCTCGCCGCTAGATGACGCTACATACAAACGTCATCTGTCAAACGTTATGTGTATCATTGATAAGTGTGAGTTGTGTCTCTAAGCGCTAGATGGTGTCGATGTCGCACTGGTGTCGTAGAGTGACCCACATACAGGGGTCGATAGAAATTTTTGGGGCCCTACCGACGGGTCGATGAACCGACGGTATAACGTCAGATCGAAATAAGCTCCATTCACATGGGAGGTGTGTGTGGAATTGCTCGTGGGAGACACGGACCTTGTCGTATATAGCAAGACGTGTCCTAAAATGGTGATACCCATTGGTCGCTCAGCCATACAGGTCGGTCAGACAGAAGTTTTTGGGACCGGGGTGCTCTGATTGGTGGATCAGACGGCGGGAAATTTGAACGGTGTTGATGGTATAGCTGAATGGTGGACGGCGGGGTCGGGTGCGTTGGTAATCACCTATGTCGCAAATGAGGTTAGATAGATAGTCGTTCAGTGAAGGTGTTGTCGTAGCGGTGATATGCAAGAAGTACTGCTCGCGGGGGTGTCAACGAGTTAATATTGGCCAACGATAACAGCGGTGACCCTGGAACACTGTTGTCACACGGTTGCAAAAGATGACAGGTTATCTCTTAATTTTCGTAAACAACGATTTTTCTAAAGTGGTAAAAACAGGTCGAAATTTTAAATACCTATGAATCACCGCAAATTATCTTGTCAGTTATCTGCTGCGAACAAAACATGCTCAGCTCAGACTTATCTAAAAAGTGGTGGGAAAATCGATATTATAAAAATATTTATGAATCACCGCAAATTCTCTTAGACGTGCTCTTATCAGTTCAGACTTAGTTAAAACTGGTGGGTAAAATCGAGATTATAAATACCTATGAATCACCGCAAATTACCTTGTCAGTTATCTGCAGTGAACAGACGTGCTCAGTTCAGACTTAGCAATTCCCAACGCTCCTCCGTGGCCATTCCCCTTACCCTCTCGCGAGTGCGGGCATGCGCATGCGGCTCGTTCTGGTCTATAGACATATGATCGCTAATGATCTTGAACAAAGATGTCCTGATACACGAACCGCCAGAGGTACATCAGAAGTAATGTTAGTATTGTGTGTGCGTGTTTTTTGAACACGCTAAGTCGTGATGTACATCACGTGACGTACGTCACGTGACCTACGTGACGTGCGTGTGACAGGTGACGTACGTGTGACAGGTGACGTGCGTCACGTGACACGTGACGTGCACACTTTGTTCAAAAATACCAAAAAGCTGTCTTGATAGCCCGAACCGCCAGAGGTACAACATCAGAAGTAATGTTAGTGCGTGGTTGAGGTTCAAAAACTTAGCGTGTTCAAAAAAAAAAACGTACCTAGACCAAAAGTCATTCTAGACCAGTCACTCTAGACCAAAGCACAAAAAAAACGCCGTTTTTCAACGCCTTTTTTGTCACCATTCCCCTTAGTAGCGCGCATGCACATGGGGCTCGTTCTGCTGGTGCTGGTGCTGGCGCGGGCGTAGATAGCGTTTGTGGTAAGGGTTGGGGTAGGTCTTGTTCTCTTATCGCGCACGAGTAAGTTTGTTTGTTGTGTACCATAGGATAGTGGTAAGAGAACAAGACCTACCCCCAACCCTTACCACAAACGCTATCTACGCCCGCGCCAGTACCAGCACCAGCAGAACGAGCCCCATGTGCATGCGCGCTACTAAGGGGAATGGTGACAAAAAAGGCGTTGAAAAACGGCGTTTTTTTGTGCTTTGGTCTAGAGTGACTGGTCTAGAATGACTTTTGGTCTAGGTACGTTTTTTTTTTTGAACACGCTAAGTTTTTGAACCTCAACCACGCACTAACATTACTTCTGATGTTGTACCTCTGGCGGTTCGGGCTATCAAGACAGCTTTTTGGTATTTTTGAACAAAGTGTGCACGTCACGTGTCACGTGACGTACGCCACGTGCGTCAAGTGTCACGTGACGCACGTCACGTGCCACGTGCGTCACGTGTCACGTGACGCACGTCACCTGTCACACGTACGTCACCTGTCACACGCACGTCACGTAGGTCACGTGACGTACGTCACGTGATGTACATCACGACTTAGCGTGTTCAAAAAACACGCACACACAATACTAACATTACTTCTGATGTACCTCTGGCGGTTCGTGTATCAGGACATCTTTGTTCAAGATCATTAGCGATCATATGTCTATAGACCAGAACGAGCCGCATGCGCATGCCCGCACTCGCGAGAGGGTAAGGGGAATGGCCACGGAGGAGCGTTGGGAATTGCTAAGTCTGAACTGGGCACGTCTGTTCACTGCAGATAACTGACAAGGTAATTTGCGGTGATTCATAGGTATTTATAATCTCGATTTTACCCACCAGTTTTAACTAAGTCTGAACTGATAAGAGCACGTCTAAGAGAATTTGCGGTGATTCATAAATATTTTTATAATATCGATTTTCCCACCACTTTTTAGATAAGTCTGAGCTGAGCATGTTTTGTTCGCAGCAGATAACTGACAAGATAATTTGCGGTGATTCATAGGTATTTAAAATTTCGACCTGTTTTTACCACTTTAGAAAAATCGTTGTTTACGAAAATTAA